ATTAGTGATATAATAATAAACGATAAATTTCGTGTTGCCTAATATTTTATTAGATAAAGTTTAAAATAAATATATTTGTAAAAATATAAAATTCCCATAACCGCAGTCTTATAAGAATTGCTATGGCAAAAAAGCAATTTATACTGGTGGCTTAAATTCTTAATGTCGGTTAATTACTCTACTGATGAGAATATATAAATAGATGGACAGATGTAGATATCAATATGGATCGTATTTATACTATTCTGGACACACGCATAATATCCGAACCTAATTGTTTTTAGCACATCATCAATATTGCTTTCTTCAGACATTGTTAGTATTACAAAATAAAAAAGAAGTCTGAAAGTTTTTATTCGATACATCTTTTCGTCACATCATTCTCATATTTAATATAGTTATTCACAATTATCGCATCTAACTCATAATAATACGGTATCTTAGTTACTGGTTTAGGATCTAAATCGATCACATTGACTTGATATTTTAAATAAATTTTGTCATCATTAGAATCATTAGAAAAGGAAATAAATTTAATCTTTTCTTTGAAAATATTACTAATGATAAATTTATAGAATTAGAACACAGATTGCAAATTATAATAATGATATATAAGCGATAAAATTACCTAGTTTCATGGGAGACTTTTGTTTCATCATTAAAACAAGATTTCTGAAACGTGAAAATTATAGAACAATCTTTTAATGTAGTAGACAACAGAAACTCGTAAATTCGTTGTCTCATCTGTATATCATTCATACTTAAATGTGATACTATAAAAATATTATGGATTATTATTTTACAATGTATCCACAAATATTAATATAAATTACGAACCACTTGGAACCTTAATCCGCTGTTTATATTCTTTTACGATTAATTGCCATTCATCTATTGTTGGATCATGCAAATTTGATTGCTGTTTCAAAAATAACTTATATATGCCTTCTATGTCCAATTCATCCAAGGTTTTTTGAAGATGCTTGAGTCGCTTAAATAAAATTTGCTCTTCAAAAATAGCATGCGTTAATAGCATGACTAATAAATTTGTTATATCATCATTTTGACTATGTACAAAACGAAATATAATGTATTAGCATACGTGTTTTTTTAAGTGAAAATATAATGAAATACTCACTGTTGGATTTTGAAATCTGTTGAAGACCGATTTAAATTGAAAAATTCGTATAATTGTGTGGGCCAATCATCCTAAAAAGTGAAAAATTAGATTATAATATTGTTGATTATGAATATATACTATTTCAACTAACCTGTCCAATGTGTATTTGTATGCCTTGTATAAACAATTTTAAATTATTGTTCGGACAAGCTATTAATCCTTCAATAGCACGCTTCAATCTTACATCATCCAATGAAAATAAATCTAAAGGACAATACTTTGATAAAAGTTTCTTGAAATCTTTGTGCATGCAAAATCGACAGGAATAAAATTTAACAGAATTCCTGGAAATTATGAAAGGAGAGGACGGCAAAAATGCACATTTTGGCTTTCGAATTGAAATAAATGCAATTAGATAAAAAATTAAA